TTTCTCTATGGGCCCAACCCACCTTCCCATCTTTATCTCAGGCTGCCTCCAACCCAGGCCTTCAGAATCAAGGCTCCCGCCCTCTTTCTCCCTGCTGGGTATTCTCCATCCTGACACTGTCCTCTCCGACACCCAGGATGCCTCCTGCAAAAAGCCACTATGACGACCAAGTCCAATCAGAATGATCCTCTCTAAACCCCTGAACCAAGAATTGCCGGGACTGCTTAGTTCTAAATACTCCGTGTTCATTTTCAGGTACCTTTATACCTGGATCTTTCCGTTCCCTGATTTGTATCATCACTTGGATAAGAGTCTTTATGTTTTCCTTCATCCCCCACAAGGCCTGGCACAATCACTAAAGAAGGCATTTCATTTTATTTTTGTAATAAGCCATGTAAGTAAATAATTTTATTTGTATGGTTTACATATTTTTAGTGCTCAAAAGTACCATATTTTAATGCAGCAGTCATGAGAAAAGCTAACAATTTAGGCTGGCAGTTCCCTCTTCTGTAAAAAGAAGCTGGCAAAACTCTTTCTTTGTGAGATCATCAATGCCAGCCCAGACGTCCAGGTCTGTGCAAAACCCTTGGAGGCTCACAAAACAATAAACTAGTCTCAGTCAATAGACAGCCTGATCACAGTAGAGAAGCAAGTGAAACTGTGACTTTAGAATCTAGACACTCAGGGCGTGCGGGGGAGTCTCTCCCATTGGCCACGATGACACTGGGGGTGGTTCTTTTTTTTTTTTTTTTTAATATATTTTATTGATTTTGTACAGAGAAGAAGGGAGAGAGATAGAGAGTTAGAAACATCGATGAGAGAGAGTCATCATCAGCCGCCTCCTGCACACCCCCTACTGGGGAAGTGCCTGCAACCAAGGTACAGTACATGCCTCTGACCGGAATCGAACCCGGGACCCTTCAGTTCCCAAGCCGACGCTCTATCCACTGAGCTAAACCGGTTTCGGCCTGGAGGTGGTTCTTACATGGAGCATGCCAAAAGCTAGCAAGATAATTAGACAGAGAGGAAAAAGCCCTCCCCTCCGTATGCCTATAAGAACAGCAGGCTTGAGCAGGAAGAGCAAGGATCTTTGAGACAGAAAACGATGGGATTATCTTTGAGAAGAGAGTCCGCCATGCTCCCAGGTGATGTGTTTCCTGAGTACAATCTTTCCTTCAGCGCCAGCACCTGCCTAATGAGTTTGGCTTTCACAGCCGCTGGTAACCACGCCTAAGGTTTTTTGGTTGGGTTATAAAACCATTTCGTGTAGGGCTTCCATTAGCATTAGCATTGCTGACTTCACAAATGGCAGTAACATTTTCTCTCTAGCCTTAATTCATGCTAAATTTCAGAAAAAATCAAATGAGAGGCAGAGAGAAGACCAACAGCACGGGCAGAAAACTGGTTCTAGCTCTTCTGGAAACCCAGAAGAGTCCGCCGTGCTTTATCCTATGTGCAATCCGATAGCAGAACACAGTGCTTCCTCCAGGTGGAAACAATGCTTACCCAGCAAACAACTCTTGTTCATCTAGAGAAGCAGGGAAGAAGCACTATTTGTTTTTCCAAAATGCAACATTTTATAGACAAGAAATCTATACTTCAAGTTCTCAAGGTGGAAAGAAAGGTGAGCTTTCTCATCAGAGTTGGCATTCCATGAAGGGCATAGTGTCCATCTGCTGTAGGAAACACATTGGTGGGTACATTAAAACCCACTTATAAATGGAGAGCCTCTGAGCCTCATTACACAGCTATTAATAGGAAGTAAAATAGCCTTTATTTACTCGGTACTCTGGCACAACAAGGTATGGGGAAGGGACTATGCTCATTCAATATTAGATCACCCTCCAGCACCATCAAAGAGCAGAGAAGCTATGCCCCTCCCCAATGGTGCCTGACCATAAAAAATAGACCAGCTACAACAAACTCAGAATGAGTGTCTCAATGTAACAAGTGAGCCTGACTCCCTCTGGTGCTTGAGAGGATCGGAGGAAAGCAGTGTAAAGGGGGCTGCTGGCTAGATCAGAGCAGCCACCTTCAGCTCAGAGGCCTTCCCCAGAGGACAGAGTAAGTGGGAAACATCCAGACCCTCTGAGGAGGACCTCACCTTTGGACACATGGAAACTCCTGTTACGTAAGAAAATGGCTCTGGCATTCAGAGAGATGATACACCTCTCGTGGCCTACCTCCCCAAGAAATGGCCACACAATGAGTGGGGATAATGTGATTGTATAGACCAGCAGTCTCCAACCTTTCGGACTTCACGGACCACCAGCTGGCGACTGCTGGCATAGACTACTCTCTTCATGTATATTATTTCACTTAAATACTCAAAGAATCCTCATATGGCAGAGATTATCCCCATTTCAAAGACAGAGAAACTAAGCCTTAAAGGGGTCCAATCACTTCTGTAAGCTGAAACTTGAGTCCAAGTCAACCTGAAGCCACAGCCATGGTCTTGCCTTTTGTCATCCTATATCCTAGCTCTCCAGTCTTCTTTAAAAAAGAGCACGTTGTAAATAGTCTTCCATTTTAGCTTTAAGGACACAAGTTCTATTTATAGCTCAACAAAGGAACTAATAATTTGCCAAGAGGATCTTTAGATCCCTCTGTTGAGGCACTACTGTAGCTGCATGGGCAACACTGAACCATTTATAGATATAACTGCCTCACCTGGCTCCTAAGCAAAATTAAATATTCACATTTATTTTTTAATGTTATAAATATCTCAAAATAGGCTTTTAAAACTAGCAAAGATTACTGATGAGAAAGGAGGAAGGGAAGGAAAACAAGGGGTTCAATACAATAGGAGGACCACAGTGGAAGGACCCTGAAATGAAGGAGAAGCCCTTGTGAGATTCAGAGAAATGGTCTGTGAGGTGCCGTAGGGCAGAGGGCCAAAGGTTGTGCCTGCTTGCTTTTCACACAGAACTCTTGGGTCCAGTCAAGGTACCACACACATTCCAAAGAGTCTCTCCACAGCTCATCATACATGTGTTTGCTGTTGCTCAAGTCTAGAGAAAACAAAACAAGAAAATGCCTTTACATTGCTCTTCTCCTTCTAAGACACCTCCTCTCCCCTGACCCTCCCTCCCCCCTGAAGACTCGCTGATCTACATCAAGAGCTTAGTGCTAGTAACTATTCTGTCCTAATTGTTTCACATGGACCATCCCACCTAATCCCCACAATGCCCATTTTTATGACCCATTATGCATAAGGCCACAGAGGCGCCCGACTGTTGGGTAGGGCTAGGATCCCAATCCAGCAGCCTGGCTCAGAGCAGGCAGGACAGTCACCTTGGGACCCCCTTCTCTGCAACCAGGCAAGCTGCATGACGCCAACGATAGCATTGACGACTGCAAAGACTATGGCACAAAGCACCCCCAGAGGAAACGCGGACCAGATACCAAGAAAGTGCACACCTGAGTTTAAATTGTCTTCTGAAGGTACAGAGATGGGACTCCAAGAACACTTCTAAGAAAAGGCACACTGGTGCAACAGAAACACTTAGGAAAACTACTGCACCATTAGACTCTTGGATTTAACAAGCATTATAAGTAAGCAGGCTCAAAATTCACCTGGCACAGTCGTTTTATTGAGCTTTCCCCCAATGTAACAATATAGGAGGACTAGAGAAAAGTGTGTCTTTTTGTTTTTATTTATTTTTTTAATATTTTATTGATTTTTTTACAGAGAGGAAGAGAGAGGGATAGAGAGTTAGAAACATCGATGAGAGAGAACTATCAATCAGCTGCCTCCTGCACACCCCCTACTGGGGATGTGCCCACAACCAAGGTACATGTCCTTGACAACCAAGGTACATGTCCTTGACCAGAATCGAACCTGGGACCTTTCAGTCCGCAGACCGACACTCTATCCACTGAGCCAAACCGGTTTTGGCAAAAAAGTGCGTCTTTTTAAAAACCTCTTCCCATTTCACATCACAGTATCAATATTTATGCAGGCCACTTCTCATAACAAAAATGAAAAAGCTGTAAATGAAAACAAGTATCAGAAAACCCCACAAAGAGCATCAGTGCTGTGGACATTCCTGGGGGGCATTCTACGAAAAACATCCTCTCACCCTCAGCCCACTCCACAGAGCCCAAGGGAGCAACAAGCCCCTTTCCCTCAGAGGAGGCCAGCAGGGTTTCAACACCTCCTTCTCTCCTTTTCCTCCTCATAAAAACCCTGGGATAAAGAAGCAGCATAAGCCACAAACTATAATTTCACCTTTTCAAGTTCAAGAAATGCTCAGCCTTAGCCTTGGGGTTCAGACATGCAATCACCTCATTTAAGTTGTTTTCCATCCAGTTTTGAATAGAAAAACACACGGTTAGAACTTTCTGGAAAGTCCAATATAATTTTTTCTTTTTTATTATTTTAACACATGATTCATTACGAACTCTCCACATATCTTCCTGTGCTTATTTAAAAGTATTTATTTAAAATTCTTTTTAAATTGTTTAAAATTACTCCTTTAAAAAATTCAACAAAACAGATGGGAAGAATTCTAAATCAATATTTTATTTCATGGAATCCAGTCAGTAGCAAAAGTGTATTTCATCATATAGTGCCCCTGGCAAAATAGAACACATTTCCCACTTTTAAGCACACCATCTTCGTAACCTAAGAGAAAAAGCACTCTGTTTGTGAAAATGCTCTTCTCTTTTCTTATCTCCACAAAAAAACAACAGCCTTCCCATTTCCACATTACCCTAGCCCCTAGCCCAGTGGTCGGCAAACTGAGGCTTGTGAGCCACATGCGGCTCTTTGGCCCCTTGAGTGTGGCTCTTCCACAAAATACCACGGCCTGAGCAAGTCTATTTTGAAGAAGTGGCGTTAGAAGAATTTAAAAAAATTGGCTCTCAAAAGAAATTTCAATTGTTGTATAACTGTTGATATTTGGCTCTGTGGACCAATGAGTTTGCCGACCACTGTCGTCGCCATTTCAAAAACACCATCAAACTTAATGATGTCAAGGTGAATGGGAGGGACTTACAGTTGAAGATGCCCGGAGGTGGATGCTCTGTCACCAGGAGACAGTTTTCTTCATCGCTGTTATCCCCACAGTCGTTCTGTTGGTTACAGACCAGTGAGCCAAGATACAAGCATTTACCGCTGGTGCAGGTGAATTTGCACTCTGAAAAAGTACAGTGAAAGCATGCAGTAATCAATGCCAGTGTGATACTCTGGGGTTCTTTCTTTCTTCCCCATTTGCATTCCATGAGCGTTTGGGAACTCAGTCTCCCTGGGGACCCCAGGAAACAGAACTCAGAGAAGGGAGCTCCTAGTAAGGACCTTCCTTCTATGAAACGCTCAGGATAGTGCCCCAGAGGCAGTCGAGGGCCTGCCATACGTTACTCCCTGCACGTCTCTCTCCCACAAAATGAGGAGCACAGGTGCCTTCTTCCCAGGACCTGCCAGCAACGGTCACAGTTATGAGGCTCCTGTTTTCTTTGAAAAAGTCCGTGGCGTTTTTCCATGCCTCCAGCACTGAGGCTACAGCAGAACTTGGGCGCTCAGGCTTGGTAAGAGAGGGCACATACATTTTATTTTCAACTTGTCACTAGATGATGTGAAGCTCTGAGCAAAATATTTAACCTCTTGCCCTAGCTGGTTTGGCTCAGTGGATAGAGCATTGGCTTGTGGACTGAAAGGTCCCAGGTTTAATTTTGGTCAAGGGCACATGCTCGGGTTGTGGGCTCAATCCCCAGTGTGGAGTATGCAGGAGGCAACCGATCAATGATTCTCTGTGGTCACTGATGTATCTGTCTCTCTCCCTCTTCCCTTCCTTTCTGAAATCAATAGAAGTGTATTGAAGAAAGAAAGAAAGAAAGAAAGAAAGAAAGAAAGAAAGAAAGAAAGAAAGAAAGAAAGAAAGAAAGAAAGAAGAAGAAAGAAAGAAAAAAAGATAAGAGAGAAAGAATATATATATATATATATATATATATATATATATATATATATATATATATATATATAAAACCTCCCTGGTGTTCATTTATCTCTTGTCTAAGAAAAACCAGGTTTGATACCAGGTTGTATAGTATAAAACATGGGAAATAATATGTGCTCTCTGCTTCCTGAGAAGCATCGATGCCAAAGGACAAGTTATAGGATGGAAACCAACCCAAACCCCTGCAGGCCACATTGAACATGGGCTCCCTGAACTCTGTACAAATCAATATTTGAAAATGGAATTTACCGTTATAAACTTTAAAATAAATTTGTAAACTTAACACATTTCAATTTAACACATTATCAATTTAAGCAATTAAGGGTAAAGAAGATTACACAATTACACACATGTGGGCACATAAATGTCTGTGTGTGTCTTACAATGAATGTCTGTGAGCTTTTCTCAGGAGCACCCACAGAAGCTGGCAGGATTTGCATAGTCCCAGCTCGGTGGACAGCCAGAAGGAAAAAACTCGGGAAAAGTATCCCAAGACCCAACCCCCTATCCCCTGAGGCTGACTATCACAGCCTCTTAATTTCTCTTTGATTTTATCTGTCCTAGAATGTGGCTGGCAGGCCTGGATCAAGTCCAAAGTCCTTTTGACTTTAAAATTCTGTTATTAAAATAAAAGGCTGGGCATCAACCCTCCAAGGCCTTCTCCAACTATACTAAGGACACCTAGGGCTGCAAAGAGAATAACCCTTCACCCATTGTAAAGAGACAGAACTTAAATCCTCAAAAGCATGTATTTCTGTGACCCACTATGAAACATTACAATTCTCCATTTGTTCACATTCTCTTAAAACAGTATAGAAAAAGACACCAACCACAGCCCCTGACCTAGCTTAGAATAACATGTGAGCACAGCCTAAATGCACAGCCACAATGTGATATAGAAAACACTGGAAAATAGCTGCACCGTACAGTGTGCTGAGTGCGGTCCAGGCCATGTGGTAGGAGCGCTGCTGAAACCAAACTCTCTCTTCTCATAAAGTGAAAAGATTAAAATCCAGCTGTTTGAAATCACACTTATGAAGTGACTTTTTTTTTTAACTTAATGGGAAAAAAGGATGTCAAGAAAAGAATGTGTCTTCCTTTCAAAAAGAAAGGTTAGAGTTCCAATTAATACCAAATATAAAAAGGACACCAAGACAAAAAAACACACAGGTATTCCTGAATCTGAAATGTTGATTGAAAAAAAGGGAATATTAACCTAAACTGAATCAATCTCGAACTAGAAAAATTAACCATTGCTGTGGTTTGAAAGGATCTCAGGTTACATTACCACACTCAAGTTCACTTGGTACTTTTTAAACCAGCAGGGAAATGTAATGACATTTCCACACTGGACTCATTTCAACTTGTTCAAAAGAGAGATCCAGTCTAGAGTCACAAAATATTTTTAAGGAAATGAATTATGAGATTCATTAATTCACATAATCGGTGTTTTAGCCCCTTCTACATTATGTACCAGGTAGTAAGACATGAAAACAGAAAGATGAAAGAGCAAGTCCTCTTAAAGGCCTTACAATATGAATTTTTTAAAAGTGTGAGCAGTGCCGAGACCGGTTTGGCTCAGTGGTAGAGCGTCAGTCTGCGGACTGAAAGGTCCCAGGTTCGATTCCAGTCAAGGGCATGTACCTTGGTTGCGGGCACATCCCCATCCCTGGTAGGGGGTGTGCAGGAGGCAGCTGGTCGATGTTTCTCTCTTGTCGACGTTTCTAGCTCTCTATCTCTCTCCCTTTCTCTCTGTAAAAAATCAATATATATATTTTTTTTAAAGTGTGAGCAGTGACTGATATATTTGCTAACTCCTTCCAAGGTCTAATTTCCCTTCTATGTATCCTTCATGTCTAGAGTGCTGCCCAGCAAGGAGCAGGCACATGGTGACTCACATATTTGTTGAATAAATGAATTATCTAATACAAGCCTCATAAGAACCTTGTGAAATAATTATGGTAGATATTCTTATTCTAATTTTATAGATGAGAATATTAAGATGCAGAGATTAAGCCAGCCAGTGTGGCTCAGTGGTTGAGCATCTACCTGTGAACCAGGAAGGTCAGGGTCTGATTCCCGTTCAGGGCACATGCCCAGGTTTCGGGCTCGATCCCCAGTAGGGTGGGTGCAGGAGGCAGCCGATCAATGATTCTCTCATCACTGATGTTTCTATATATCCTTTTCCCTTCCTTTCTGAAAGCAATAAAAATATACATTTTTTAAAAGATGCAGAGATTAAGTATCCACCTATAACTAAACTGCTAATAAAAGACAAAATCCAGATAAGTGTCCAAATTCTCTGCCTCTTTTCTCAAGTTCTGCCCATAGTTGCCTCTCACTGTCCAAACCTACTTTCATAAATGTCTAAGATTCATTTGTAATTAGGATACCCATTAAAGTAACAAAGTTCTCAAAAGAATTAGTTATCATAAGCAGGCATACTATTAGTCAGGACTCATTCACAAGGCGTCTGCTACTGATTTGCTCAGAAAGCTCTTACTCCTTAGACAATGGAAATATCAACATCAACCCATTGAATTTCAAATTCCTAAAATCTAACTCTTCTCAACCATGATCATTAGCTGAATATCTGTCACATTGCCTCTTGAATCAAAACTACTAGATTGAAATTTTGAATCTAACACCTTCTTGATGTGATATAGAAAATACTGGAAAATTGCTATAAATTAAGCATTGAAGATTAATACTAAAGCTAGTTTAAGATTTCAGACCAGAGTAAAGTGTCTGTCCAAGTTAACATGAGTGGTGTCGATAGAGGCAGGCTTCCAACTTGACCTGTCTCACCCTGCAAGGCCATCTCTACCACAGGTTGCTATCCAAAGGCCCAGGACATTCAGCCACTGCATTCAGACATGAGGGGATGGTCCTCAAATACTAAATTATTGTGGTATTTCAAACAAACTGAGAACCCTAGATGAGAGGATCTAACTGGGTCTGCATATTGGAACCACCTGGGCATCTTTCAACACTTCGGTACCTAAGCTGCAGCCCAGGCCACTGGCTCTCCCTAAGCTGAGGTACAGCGTGGGCAATGGGAATTTCTAGAGATCCTTAGAATGCTTCTGATGGGCAGCCAAGATGGAGAACAACTGCCTAGAGAGAAGTACATAACTCACAGGAAGCCCTCACTATAGCTGATAGTATCTTATTGGAATGCTTAGTTGGTATTTGCTAATTTACTAAAAAATAAAAACCAAGACAAAATAGAAACTAATTGTACTAAGGTACAATCTCTTTAAAAAAAATTATATATATATATATATATATATATATATATATATATATATATATATATATATATATATATTTCAGAGAGTAAGGGAGAGGGAGAGGCAGAAACATCAACAATGAGAGAGAATCATTGATCAGCTGCCCCTGCACACCCCACACTTGAGATCGAGCCCACAACCCGGGCATGTGCCCTGACCGGGAATCGAATGAACCGTGACCTCCTGGTTCATAGGTTGTCACTCAACCACTGAGCCATGACAGCTGGGCTAAAGTATAATCTCTTAAAATGAGTGGTATTTTGATGGTCCCTGGATATAAAACCTGGTTGCTACAGCTCTGTACTGTCAACGGGATACTTCAAAAACTTTGGGCCCTACCCCATTTGGCTCAGTGGATAGAAGATCAGCCTGTGAACTGAAGGGTCCCAGGTTCGATTCTGGTCAAGGGCATGTACCTTGTTTATAGGTATATCCCCGGAAGGGGGTGTGCAGGAGGCAGCTGATCGATGTTTCTCTCATTGATGTTTCTAGCTCTCTCTGTAAACAAATCAATAAAATATATATATCTTTTTGAACTTTGGGACCCCAAAACTGCATTTGACACGCTAGAGACAGGAAGCATCCTCAATGAAGTAAAACGAAACATTTTGGCTGTAAATTCGTGGCGATTTCAGATGTATAATATTGGAATGAAATACAAAATGAACAACTCAGGAACCGGTTTTTCCTTCATGAGCTATAGATTTTATTCTTAAAATTGTAATATTTAAATAACATTTTTAAAGTCAGGACTTTCCAAATGAAGAAAATGGCATTTCTATCATGATTCTCTATGTGATATTCTATGAAAAAAAAATAGAATCAACAATAGGTTTACTCTTGGTAATAAAGAATTTTCTCCAAATTTTGGGTCTTCTTTAACTTCAGTGA